CCCCCCCCCCCCCCCCCGCCCAGGCACGTGCACCGTGTCCCCAGCCCTGGCTGGGGCCGGTGGAGGAGCCGCTTGCCGGGGTGTGGGTGAGCGCAGAGCCTTTCCGTGGCTTTGCAGAGTCCTGGAAGCATGGGCTCCCGGTTGCTGCACCCACAGCCTGCAGGGCAGCTCTCAGCCCTCCGGGCCCCTCCTCCTCCGCCCCAGGCCCAGGCGTTAGGCAGCCGGCCGCGCCGGGCTCTGGGGAGGCCTGGCCGGAAGCAGGAGCTGTTTCTCTCATTTGTCCGTGGAAATCTCGGGGGTGGTTCCATGTAACGGGCTGGCGAGTTCCGTGTCCTTGTCCAGCCTCACCGGCCTCTCCACAGAGCAGGGGACCCGGCACAGGACAGGGCGCTCCCTGACCGCTCGGTGGGGTCACCCCCACCTGGACTCTGCTCTCGGCGTTCCCCCAGATGCCCTGGTGGCACTCTGGAAGACAGCCACAGGCCAGGCAGCTGCAGCTCTGCTGGACGGCGTGAGAGACCGCGACCGGTGGGTCAGGGTCTCCTTCGGCAAGCGCTGACGCTCTGGGGCCTCCCGGGATGGGAGGGAAGAGGGGGGTCCGTCCCGGGAACCAGAGCCTGGGAGCATGCATGTGCGCACGTGCGGGTGGACATCTGCGTGTGATAGGCGCACGCGCAGGCCCACCCCTGCCCAGACCCCCAGCAGGGCGTGGGGGCACCGTCTTCTCGGGCCTCTCACGGGAGCCTGCTGGTCGGGACTCAGCCCAGTGCCTCGTGGATGGCTCTGGACAGGTGGCTGCCTGCCTCCCTGTCCCTTGGTTCCCTGGGAGCCCCTCTTTGCCGAGGACACTGGCGGTTTTCTTGTCGTCTGCAGGCACGTCACCCCATGGTGCCTGGTGCTGTGTGGTCATGAACGGGTGGGGGTGTTGCCTTTCTTATCCTAGCTCTTTAGGAGGGACTGGAAGCTGCGTGGGGTAAAACGAAGGGACGGGGATCTGGAGCCGGCTGGGGGCCCCAGGCACACCCTTGCTGCCCCCAGCTTGCGTCTCTTCCTTCAGGGTGAGGCTGTAAGTCCCCAGGATTTTGGCGTGGGCTCTGGTCCTGCCACCTCCACCCCGGGCCCAACATTGGACCCCTTTGTGGGTCCCCCTGAGGGGCCTTCCCCTCCGTTCTGTGGGTGAAACCCACCACGCCCCGCCCAGCCAGTGCACCAGTCCTCCACGGGACACGAACCTGCCTCCTGGGCTCCCTGACATGGCAGTGAGGACCTGCTGGCCTCAATCCCTCCCACACACCCCCAGGGCCACCCCGGCTGCTCCCTCCCTGTGCACATCTTGTGGGGCCTTTCTTGGAGCTCAGGGGCCACCCGGCGGGAGGGGTCGGGTGAGGGGTCCATCCTGTCATCTGGCTCAGCCTTCCATCCACAGACACACTCCCCACCTCCTGAGGTGCGGTCAGAGCCCCGCGATGCTGGTCCCCCGGCACCAGCTGCCCCACCCTGGGCAGTGCTGGGCAGGGCCCCGAGGAGATGCCCAGTGCTTGCGTGCTGCGGGGCCCCGGCTCCCTGTGTGTCTCCAGTGGCAGAAAGTGCTGGGCTGCAGGGAGCAGCTTGCCCCCAAAGCATGGTGGTCTCTGCAGACTCTGCGGACATGTGTGCACACGGTCACTTGCTCGGCCGACCAACACTGAGCCCCTGAGTTGCTCCTGGGCAAGGGCTATGAGGCCCTCGGGGGCCCCACAGAAGGCGTGGCTGGAGCTGCCAAGCTTGTCAGGACGTCTCTAACCCGGGACTGCAAGTGACTGCCGGTGATTCACCTGTCACCTTTGCCTGCTTACTGTTCAGCGACAGGAGGCCCCGTCCCACCCCGTCTGCCGCCCACCTACCTGCACAGGGCCTGGCATGTGCAGGGTGCTCGCGGAGGATAGACAGATGGGGAGAAAGTGCAAGAAGCTAAGTAGAAGCCAGACCGACCCTCGGCAGACATTCACTGCCCGGGGACCCAGGAGGGGACTTGAGGGGCCCAGGAGCCATCCCACCCTTGGCTGGGTCACTGCACCCTGTGGAACTCAGTTTCCCCACCCACAGTGGCAAGCTCGGTCTGGATGCACCCTGGGGTCAGAAGCCTTCGTTGGGGCAGCAAGGGAGGCCTCCCTGTGGGCTGGCAGTCCTGAGTGGGAGAGGCCGCCAGACAGAGACCGGCCCGAGAGACGGGGTGACCCACTGGCCCCCACGCAGTGTTGGGGTCCTGCCGCCTGGGGGCTGACGGTGAACTCACACGGTGGCAGTGGAATCAGGCTGGAAGGGGATCACGGTAAACTGTAGCCTCCTGGCCCCTTTGGTTGATTTTATTTTATTTTCCCAACGATGATTTTTCAGGCAGGAAGGGGGCCTGAGGCAGAGTTAGAAATAGCTGAGCACCATTCCAGTTGAGTGGGATCTGCAGATGTGCGCCGGCATAATTGAGGGTTTGGGTTCACCCCACGTGCTCTGTGCGAGAAGACACGGAGCCCACCGGCCCAGCCGTGGCTGCCATGTGGGTGGGAGCTGCCTGCCCCGGGGGGCCGCCACTCCGAGGATGGCAGGAACTCTGGCCAGGCCGGGCCCAGGAGGGGCCTGCCTGCCCTCCCAGCCCCCCACCCCCGCCCCAGAGAACGGGGTCCCCCGCGTGCTCGCACTAGCGCAGGTGCTGGGGAGTTCCCAGGACCACCCGGAGCCCTGGTTTCTGCGGCCCGTCGTGCTGTCTGGCCGTGGTTCCCAAGCTCTCCTGCCCCCCGTCCTGCAAGAAGGCCCTGATGGTAAGGACGGTGGGTGGGTCCCGTGCCAGCGCCCCCAGGGCAGGCTGTGGACAGGGTTGCTGCAGGACGCCGTGGTGTCCTCTTGGCCCGGCCCTGGGGGTTGCTCGGGGGCAGTGGGCAAGGCGGGACATGGCTTCCGGCTTCGGCAGAGCGGCTTGCGTGCGGCGTCGCCACGCCTGTGTCTCCCCTGGTGCCCCCGGGTCTCCGGGCTGTCCAGGGCACTGCTGGGGGCTGTGTGTGGGCTGTAACGCCGTGTGCGCACCCCGTGCGGGCCAGAACCCGGAAGTTCCAGGGCCACTCCTCTCGCTGCGCGAGGGCTCCGGGGCCCAGGGACTGCGGGAGCCTGTCAGGTGCTGACCCTCTGCTGCATGTTGCTCCTTGGGGGTGTGGGCAGCATCCCGTAGCCCCCACGCTTGCTTGTGTGGATTCAGGTGCCTCCAGGAGAAGTCTGGCTCATGTGGGGATGTCACTCCTCTCGGGGGCTCTGCCGCTGGGGACTTGGAGGCACGT